AACACCAAGAATGAATATAGGAAAATAATGTATTAACGTAATAATACAAACTGGTAATGCAGGTTAGTAGTTGCAGGAATACGGGTTAGTAGCAAAATATATATACAGTCTTTGGTATTGAAGTATCGCTGTATGACTTCTTGCTGAGTCTACGTGCTCGCTCTCTGTGACTCTTGATCGCTACGTTCGTTCTGTCTGTCTGTTACCTTCACCTTCTGTCGGTTACCTACAACGCTGTTACCTCACCCTCACTCTTCCGGTTATCTACAACCTTTCACTCCCCTCTCTGTTTCCTCTTGCTTTGTCGGGTCTTCACGTAGCAGTAGTATATGTATATACTGGGTGAGTCCATTTGTGTAAAAAAGGGGAGGACCCGTCAACAATAATGATTGACACTTTTTTATATTTTTGAAGATCAAATTTGATTGCGAAGTAATAAACCGGAAGAGACGCCCACAAGAGAGAAGTGTGATAGGAGAAACTGCTAGTATAGAGCTTAGGGTTACATCTAGCCATTTCAACTATAAGTTGAAGAGACCTTGCCGCTAATCTTATACTGCATTTAATTTCATAACGTCTAGGTATTATGGAGGAAAGTTCATCAGAACAATTAGCACGACTAACGCGAAATAATTGAAAATAATATCGAGTCATTTTACAATTTAGTAGAAAAAACATTTAACCGCAATTCAAAAATTCAGTACAAATGACTGATTACTGTACAAGTCTGTGAACTGACTACTATGTCATTAAATATGATATTTACAAGATCTGAATATCTGCTTAATATTTAATTAGCAACATTCTCTTCGTCCATGTCTTCTTGAAGAATAAATTTTATATAAACTAAAACAGAGAGTGTGAGAAAATACAAACAGGAAATAGTTTCAAATTGTAATGTTGTTTTAGTCTAAATATCTATCTTATATTTAAACATACTTTATTTAAAATTGCAAAGCGTCATTTTGAAAAGTGGAAATACCATTGAAACGTGTTAGAATATTTACGAATTTTCATCTGAAATCAATAAAATATGAATTTTAAGCCAAATGGCCTCAATACATATTTTTTAAACATTTCACCGGAAGCAAAGCAACAAATTCATTGAACGCAAAGGATTACTGTGGGTGAGAGAATATATCAAAAGAAAATCCACGATTAAGGAGAAGGAACAATAAAAGAACAGGAATTAAGATGAGGGAAGATAACGATTGATATTGTATTTAAATTTTTGACGTTAAAAGTTGACTGAAAAGCAAGAAACCGGAAGCGATTTCCACAAGAGAGAAGTGCGATAGAAGAAACTTTTAGCATAGAACTTACGGTTACATCTAAGCATTTCAACTGTAAAATGATGAGACCTTGCCACCAATCTAGTACTGTGCTTAAATTCATAAAATCTGGGTACCATAGAGGAAAGATTATTGGAACAATTACGATGAAAATATTTATAGGAAAGGCTCAAAGAAGCTACATTAAGAAAAGTGACTGAAGCTGATATGTCAGACCAGGGCCAATAACACCAGACCAGATGTGGCAACAATAGTCAAGGCAAGGATGAGTGCTATGTCAGATAGATTCTGACGAGAAAAATTATCAAGTTCGACGGAGTGAACCAACTAAGCAGACCTAGCAATCGATTCGATATAATCTTTCCACGTCAGCAGAAAACGATAGCCCGAGAGTGCGCAGTGTGTCAAAAGAAAGCAGAAACTACAAGAAGACGGAGTGCACGGTCGTCAATAAGACGATGAGCCCGAAATGCGATTTGCAGGTCGGGAACATTAGAACCAGACTTGGAAATTTAAATCTCTGGTAAGCGTTCTGACAGGGGATGGTAAATGCGACACTGAGATTCGTAGACGTATTGGGATGGCCAAGTACGCATTCCAAAAGCTGGGCAGAGTATTGCGAAACAGGAGAATTTCTTTGGTAACAAAGAAAAGAATACTAAGCTGTTACGTGACATCTGTCCTTCTATAGATGTCACGTAACAGCTTAGTATTCGGTAGCGAATGTTGGACGATTTCCACAAAGATGAAGAGACTCGAGGCGTCGGAGATGTGGTTCTACAGAAGGATGCTAAAGATATCATGGACCGAGGTTGCAAACAAGGAGGAGGCTTATACTTAACATCAGGAAGAGGCAGCTGAAGTTTCTGGGATACATAATGAGGAAGCAGGGCCTGGAGAATCTGATACTCACGGGTCGAATAGGGGGAAAGAGAGACAAAGGAAAACAACGCATGACATACCTAGCGATCTTAAGCAAATGGATGATAGAACGTGGTCTGGGGGAGCTGGCAGAGGGAAGGATCTTGTTGAGAGCTACAAGGGATAGGGAGAAGTGGAGAGCCATGATCACCTACGTCCTGAAAGAACATTCCACATAAAAAGAAAGAATCTAATCATTCTACTGCTACTAGTCCCTTTTCCTATCATCTTAGATTTTCTCTCAGTGGAAATAAAAAGTGAATGTTCAAGTTAACAGAACTATCAGTGAACGTTTTAATTCTTACTTCGCCAATTATATTTATATGTATGTATATGTGTGTGTATGCACATTTGTGTGTGTATCTCTGTGTGTACGCGCGTACGTTTCTGTGTCTGTGTGTGTTGTCATTTTTGATAGATGACGACATTAAATATTTATGTTGACTTTTGTGTAAATCTTCCTGATTAATCTTGTCACTGTTATAATCAGAATGCTGTTATTATATTCCCTTGGAATTAGTCAAATAAAAAATTCGATTTTAGTTGGTCAAATTTCTACGATGATAATGTTTAGCATTCTTCCAAATTTGATACTTCGTTTATTATCATGTCTCATGTGTAACTTATTTAGGAAATAACGAATAAGGCTCCTTTAAATTCAATACTAGTTCAAATTATTCAAATTATTAATAGTTTATTCCTTGTCCTTTTCCATTTTATATAGAAAGGTTGTTAGACAAGGATGTTTCTTTTCGCCGGGACTATTCAACATTTACAGTGAGGTGATTCCGTGAGAATTAGAAGTCCTACCAGGATTCGTTGTTGGCGGTCACAATCTTAAAAACATTAACTAAGCAGATTGATACAGTGTTATTAGCAGACTCGGAAATGAAGCTACAATAACTACTATAAAAGGTAGTAAAAGAAAGCTAGAATAAAGGACTAAATATCAATTGTAAGAAGACAGAATGCATGATTTTCACAAAACGGAAGAGCCCAACATGTGAATTACAACGGATATAAAAGAATAAAGAAAATACAAAAAAGTGTTTTAACAGAAGCCAGTAAATACAACACATAAATCAGAAGGTAATCGTAAAAGATGCTTTCCAAAAGTTAAGCAAACTATTAAGAAACAGGAAAATTGCGTCAGCAACAAGGAAAAGAGTACTACTAGTCGTTAATGTAATATCGGTTCTCTTATATGGCATTCAATTCGGGACAATCTCCTCATAGATGAACAACAAACTTGAGGAAACAGAAATGTGGTTCTACAGAAGGATGTTGAGAATAGCATGGACTGGATCTGTGAGTAATAAGGGCGTTTTAAGGAAAATGGAAACAAAAAAGGACAATTATGCTTAGAATCAGTAAAAGACACTTGAAATTTCTTTGGCACGTAATGAAGAAAGAGTGTTTGGAAAATTTAACACTTGCAGGATATGTTGAAGGCAAGAGAGATAGAGGAAAGCAGCGAATAATCAACCTAATGACTTTGTGTAAATGGTTGGTAGAACACAGATTATGAGATAATAGAAAAATAACAATGTTTGTTAAGAGCTCCAAGAGAGCAGAAAAATGACCTCCCACGCCGTGAAGGGATTTAGTACATGAAAGAACAAAAAGAAAAACTTTTGCTAAGGCGTTTTCATCATTATAACGGTAATACAATGTTTATTCCTTCGTATTGTTATTAGTTTTTGAGTTACCCACATTAATATAATCTTCAAACGGTAAAAATTAATCCCCGCCTGTTTCAAATTTCATGTCTGTAAAGAACGTGTTATTTACATTTTAAGAAACTTGTTTTCACAGTGTAACACGATTTTTGTCCTTTCCGAGCAGCTGTTATTTTCTATTTGATTTCACATAGAAAGTATGACAAATGCCTAATGAAACTTTGCTTTTGTGACCAGCATAATGATATTCCAGAAATTTATCTATTCCCATTGGAAAAAATGGTGAATATGAACATTCCCGTTCACGCAAAGTAGGAACAGAACGACATATGATTTAAAAGTAGAATTTATTTATTCTAGGATTTCACAAGAGTGACTACAAGAAATTTAGAAGGGAGTAGTTTTTCGCGATACTATAAATTACTTTCAAGAATCAGTAAATATAGCATACAACAAATCTGTCGTTAATTCCGAGAAAAGTGTTTAGATAAACGACATTCTTGAATTCTAACCTTCATGGCTAGCACCAGATATGCCACACACTTTGTAAGAAACCAGCCTCATTTTCCTCGTATTCCCTTGGTAAGATGTAAGTTTTACTGGAGCAGTTTCTTCCTACGAACTGCTACTCTATGAAATCGACTCCCAAGAGGATGCTTCCCCGATCACTAAAGTTTTAACCTGTTCAAGTCCAGGTTTAACCGCTATCTTCCTCATATATCCGCATAAACTATACAATGGCTCCTTGCACAGGGTGAACATCATCGAAAAAGAAAACAAACTTAAGAAATGATTTCATATCCGAGCAATACGAATCTAACTTTTCAAGCCGTTAATTAATTGATCCATTCGTTCTCTAGGCTTATCAACCTTTTGCAGTTTATTTAAAGTTTATTAAGAATTATTTTTATATTATAAGAATTTTCTAGATAATAATGGTTTAATGATAAAAGTTTTACTAATTAACCCATAGTTGGGGAGGAGAGGTTGTTCATACCTTTCAAAGGTTATTTACGTATAAGTGAATATAACGAACCCAACTGAATTGGAACTCGGGCCTTCAATGAACAATTATCCATTACACCACCTACACATCCAAGTTTTAAGACCTGTATTCACAAGTGGTCACCCATCTCGGTACCGACCAGGCTCAATGCTGCTTGACTTTGGTGTTCGTACGAGAACCGGTGTGTCAACGAGATGTGGTCGTAAGCCTCAAGCCGGCAACGGACCTACACGGTTTGGTAGAGACGTTACGTATATGACTGCCTCCGGCGTCAGGGGCTAATTGTTGGTCACTTTGTAGTCACATATGTCCTTTCAGACTGCGCTGATCGCCACATTTTGGTTCATACATGTACATACACAAACAGGAACACAGATACATATATATATGTGTGTGTATGTGGAGATTAAACTCTCATTTCGATACCGACACAAGTGTGGTCAATAGCTCACTTAAACTGAACCGCTAGACTTTCCACACTTATGACTTGATTGTAATGCTATTTCAGGAGAACCAGCCACACTTTTCACAAAGACTGTTGACAGGCTGAACAGTCTCTCCTACAATCGCCAAACAGCCACCCTCAGTTTTACCTTCCGGCTTTTCTTTCTTCGTAATTGGCTGCCACCTCAGGGCAAGAAAACCTAGTCTAACTGGCTATTTAATCCATAAGTGAAGAAAGATAGGTTCATGCCTTTTCCCAAGTGAAGTGAACGAAACAGAATGAACGGGAATTTGAATTCAGCTCGACGTTGTCAATATTCGCGCCAATAACCGTTACACTCTCACCAAATCTATCTATCTATCTATCTATCTATCTATCTATCTATCTATCTATCTATCTATCTATCTCAGTCTATCCCTACTTAGCTGTAGTGGAGCACGTGTGATCCTTCAAAAAATTGTGCAAAATAGAGATTTTAGAGATATTACTTAAGTCTATTGAACTTTTTTACAAATTTTAACGATGTTTCATATATTTATCTCCATCATATCACAGTTTGTTCATACCTATTTATCTATCTCACTCCGTTCATCTCTCTCTCTCTCTCTCTCTATATATATATATATATATATATATATATATATATAAAGAAAGAACAGTAAGTTATATAATCCGGTGTTCTTATTGATATTTTTTATTTTCATTTTTACAAAAGAGTACTTAATGTAAATTTACAGAGCATAAAAATTATAAACTAACTGATTTAAAATATGTTTTTTCGCTACACAGTAATGACCATGTTTCAAAAACTGAAGCTTAAAACTTCAAATTTAATTATATAACTAAATAAAAGCAGTTGTTCCGTTTCATCTTCAAGCGAATATTGGAATAACTTATTTTTAAATTTACTTAGATTTAAACTCACATATAAATTCATAATTTACTGTTTCCAAGGATACAGAGAAATCCAATCATTCAGACAAGGGCGGTAGCGTGTTCATTTTTATTAACTATTGTTGTATCAATTATGAGTTACGTTCGAAAAAGAGGTTAAGTTTAGGGAGAGGTAGGGGTGTATTTTTCAATGAATTCTGACATCGGTTAAATGCATGTCGTCTGTTTTTTTGTTTTTTTTATATTAACGGCAACATGTTTTTCGCCATTTTTTTCGTACTTGTATACTTAAAGATTCTTTCTAGGGATGTTTGGGTTAGAATACGTTTTATTTAACAACACTTTTAAAATATTTTTACTCTTAATTACTAGTAGACTATATTTCTTTTTAAAACAAGTAAATGTAATAGAATTACTTAAATTATTTAAAATTATTTTTTCATAACAAATATAAGTAGTATATTACTAGCTCCCATTTTTTAATTTTATTTTTAAATAATATTTAAGGAAAATTTTTGACAATGACGGCAAAAAATAGCTATTTCATTTCTCTGATTCACTAAATATTTATTTATAAACTTAGTAATATATACTTTCTCATGTATGCACAAAGAACATGGGTCATTTAATGACCTACATATTCTAATTTTTCTTATTAATTTCCATTTTACTGTAGGTGTTTTATTGGATTCTTTTAAGTGCCAGAAATATTTTGATTGGGATGTCTGATTTCTGTATTCATTTATCCTGATGGAAGTTTGATGTTGATTGAACCTGTTTTTGAACTCATGGCTTGTACAACCTATATAGATTTTTATGTTTTCGGGATTCTCAATAGATGAGATGTTGCATTGGTATACTAATAATTCTGTGCGACATTTATTTAGTAGAGGACATTTATGAGGGTTTCTACAGTTACATAATTTTTGTTTATCTTTATCTCTTTTTATTTTTATTTTTACATTGTCTAAATTTCTTTGGTTTTGGTCGAAGTGTTTATTGAAGATATTAGCATTATGTTTCTTAATAATTTTTCTAAGTTTTCAGTACAACTGTAACTTAATTTTAGTGTATTTTTATTGAAAACAGTAATTAGTTTACTTTCTCTAGGAAAGTGCTTAACTATTAATGCAAGGAATTTTTGTCCTAATTTCTTTACCATTTGGTTGTATGGGGGTGTATACCAAATTCTTTTTTTCTACATCTGTTTTTTCTATGCTTTCCATTTTCCTTTTTTATATAAGTTAGTTTTGGGTTTTTGTAGCCACTATCTTTTAGAGCTTTATTATAGAAATTAATATGTTCATAGAAAATCTTCTCATTTGCTGAATTTGTACTTCTTTTTCCGATAGATAAATATATATATATATATATATATATATATATATATATATATTATTGTGTGTATTTAGGCAGCATATTTTCATTTATACACGTTTCATTAAATAATATAGACAAGTGTTGTCTATTTATTTTATGTAAAATTTTTTCGTATCTTCTGATAAGTTTGATAACATTATCATTAACCGAAAAAAGAAATTCACAATATTTATCCATTATTTTTTAATAAAATCTAAGCTTTCAGCTTACTCAAGCCATTATCAAAGATGTAATTACAAACATATCAAACAATATACGGACACGACAGTGATGATAGTCTGTCATTGTTTTGTTTACATAGTGGATCACTAAGCAAATATTCTTAAATGTCTATAATTTCTATAATTGGTAACAGAAGCCATTGGTTTATACCAACGGCTTTCCTTATTTCATTCTACAATTCACTCTCGTGTAGTCATGTGTGACGTCATGAGATGCGGTGCGATTTTCGCTTCTAGCGTCTTATATGCGCGTGTTCATCGTTGCTTAGTGATCCACTATGTAAACAAAACAATTTTACATAAAATAAATAGACAACACTTGTCTATATTATTTAATGAAACGTGTAAATATATATATATATATATATATATATATATATATATATATATATGTGTGTGTGTGTGTGTGTGTTGTGCGCGCACGTTGTTTATTCATACGTTATTATAATGGACACTTCTTATTTAAAACAAACGCCCCATTTTTTTTATTAAATCTTATGTAGTCCGTCTATTGGATCGCACATACGAGAAATCTAAGAAAACAACAGGGAAAGAAGTGGTAACCTCATTCACTATACTCAAAATTCTCTAATCTGCGGGTCGATAGACGTATAGTTTCCTAAATATGTAATGTGGTGTCCATTTCAAATAAGAAATGCCCACTATAAAGACATGCTTCATTATAACAATGTTGGGTTAAGGAAAAATCGATTATTTTTATAGAAATTTCATCATATATATATATATATATATATATATATATATATATATATATGTGTGTGTGTGTGTGTGTGTGTATATATATATCTGTGTGTGTGCATGATTCGCAAACAGTACTTTTTCGATGTATCACAGCTCCTCAGTGCGACTAGACCACCAAAAGCCTCAAGCCGGGATCGAAACCCGACCGATTTGGTGTCAGCTGAAGTTTCTACCCTAAGTAACCAGCACTCGCTATGGAGAAGCTGCTAATTCTAGCGTATTGTTTTTACCAATGTAAACAAACGCCAGTATATATATATATATATATATATATATATATATATATATATATATATATATATATATATATATATATATATATATATATAAGGCCATATATATATATATATATATATATATATATATATATATATATATATATAAATGGGGAGGGGGGCGTGTGCGAGCGTATGTTTGTGTGTAATTGTTTGAATCGATTTATTTTAAAATACAGGTAATATATCTTGCTACAGTAATCACATACATGCACCGGCTTCAAAATGAATAAAAATTGCTAGTATGACCCCCAGATTAATACATTGTATATGTCCTCATAGAACATCGCAACAGGCCTGTACTCTCGAATCTATGCGATTTGGATAGATAGCCTGGGATATATTATTTCACGTATCTTTCATTTTTATGCATGCCAGCAAGTGTTGTAGAAGGGCTGAATGAACGAGTCCCCTATATACATAGAGAGATTGCTAACGATCGTGTCAGAGGATGTTGATTAAGCAACGTATTGCTTCCGATTATAAAAATGTAAGTAGAATGTGTTGAAACTGATATGGCTTGGCTCAACGTTTCCTTCACAAATACCAAAAGCGAGCGAGCAATGTGACATGTCATTTCTCTCGATGATTCAAACGTTTGGGCTTGGATAATGATGATGGCGCCAACGCTGTAGATGCAGTTACGCTCTATGAACCTGTTCTAATTCGTTAATACGACAAAATGGCGACATCGGGTGACTGTCTTGTGTCTCTAGTTCAGATGTGCACTATGCTTTTATGACAAAAGTTCTACTTGAATCAATCGATTCACAACATTGCTATATTTATTCTGATCTATATAGTGCAGATGGTGCAGTTTCCTACGAGATGATTTGCACAATGTCGATTTTGGTGAGCGTCTTCACTGCGTGCCTATACAGACTTTAGTCTATCTACATGCCAGTCAGCATTTCTCCGAAATGATCATTCAACACTTCGAAGGACCATAATCCAATTCCTCTCAAACAGCTTCAACCATTCACCATTAAAGCCGATATGAGGGTTACTACACCACAAGATAATCGAAGGCTTTAGAAATTTTATCAAAATATCTTCTATCCGCGAGCATACTCATTCTTTACCAAGTTCAGTATTGTCCTTGTCCTTCAGAGTGCTACAATTTCATTTGCCGTCGAGTTATATATATATATATATATATATATATAAGAAATGGACAAGGTCCGACAATTTATTTATTAAAGACATTTTTTTTTATGTTTAACGTTGTT